CTTTGTCTTTGGTGTTAAGTAGTTTGACAGTGATTTGCCTGGGGTGCTTTTCTTTGGGGTTTATAGAGTTTCTTTACTCCATGGCTTGATGTTTTTCACTAATTCTGTAAAATTTTCAGTCATCTCTTTAAACATTGCTTTGGGGACTCTGATTACATGTATGTTAGATCTTTTAATCATGTTCCATATGTTTCTTAAGTTCTTTTTTGTATTTTTCAACTTTTTTCCTTCTGTGCCTCAGTCTGGATATTTTCTGGCTTAACTTGCAGTTCACTCGCTAACCCTTTCTTTAGCTGTGTCTAAACTGCTGTTGAACCCATTTATTGAGTTCATAATTTTGATTATATTTTCACTTGTAGAATTTCCCAGCTGATTAATTTCAGTTATTTTACATTTCATTTCTGATACTGTATTCTAATATCCAGATCTCCTGTGAGTATATTTCGATTCTTATCTTTTTTTTCCCCCATGGCTTTGATTGAATCCTGGATATTGTGTATGAAAAGTTCCAGAGATAATTTGGGGTTCTGAGTAATTTATTTTCCTCCAGAGAGCATTTACTCCAGCTTCTGGCAGGCAGGGTTACCCTCACCTCCCCTTTCAGGCTTCCTCTCGCTGAACACAGTCTGTTGACTCTTCAGCCCTGTGAGATTGCAGGAAACTGTTTGGTCTCTCAGCTTTTCAGCCTCTGCTTGTAAAAAGACAAATGCTTTAAGGGAAAGAAATGGCCAGTGTCAGGCTCATCTTGTTGCATTTTCTCTTTCTCTGTGATTGCAACCTGGGTCCTTGTTGCTGTGGTGTTTCTCCAAGGCCAACACAGATTTTTTTAAAAATATGTTGTCAGGTTTTTTAAGTTATTTGCAGGAGGAGGAAGTTAGACTTTGGTCCTAGTTAGAAAGGCCAGGCCCCCCAGCAGAACCCAGTGCACCGTGACCTCTCCAGAGACTAGCCATTTGGCAGTAATAGGGGTGGAGTGGGAAGAGAAGTTAATTGGGCGTTAGTGAGGATCAGTCTCTTCAGTAGCCCCCGCAGAGTGGATCAGGGGAGGGCTTGAACCTAGCTTGACAGAGCTGGACACACCCAGCATAGCCTCCTTGTTTCCAGATGTGAATCCAGGGCCCAGAGAGGGGCAGTCCCACAGTGACTGGGCCCCAGGTGCTCCTGGCTTCTTGACCAGTGCTCAGCTCTAGCGGGGATTGGGGCAGTGGGCAGCGGGGCTGCCGAGGTGGGTGCTGTGCGGCTCGCCCACCAGCCCATGCTGCCCTTTCCTGTTGCTTCTGGCCCCTCCCTGTCTCCTGCTGTGTCCTCCCTCCCTCTGGTTGATCTGAAGCCTAGGCAGCAGTGGGTGCTGAGGTGTGGGTGCTTGTTGCTGATGCTGTGAGCTCTGGGTACAGCTCCCACTGGTCTTCTTTCTTCTGATTTCTTTTAGTGCCAGTTTCTGAGTGTGACGGTTTTTTTTCCTCTCACTAATCCCTGCAGTTTTCTTCCCACACCCAGTTTCTCTTCCGCTTTTCTCCCCACCCTGTTATAAATGAAAGTTAGTGCACCGATCATGCCCCACTTTCTCTCCTGGTGCCTCAATAACCTGACATTTACCCCTAGGCCTGAGGCAAGCATTAGGGAATGGGTGACAGGGTGGTGTCCCTGCTTCTTAGAGGAGGCAGACCCTGGGAGTGGGCAGCAGGCTCCCTCCACACATGCCATACTGGGACTGCCCTGCACACAGCTTTAGCCTAGCCCCAGGGCTGTAGGCCTTTGGCCCTGGCAGAGGGCAGGGGGGCAGCAGGTGGAGCTGGCCAATAGGGGACTGATTTGTTATCAGAAAGCCCCCAAGTTCAGACCACTGCCACTTGTTAGCTGTGTGGCCACAGACACCTGCTGCCTTACTTCTGAGAAAGTGTGCCTGCCCAGGTGCTGGGGAAGTCAGCCACACTTTTCCCTGACATAGACAGAAGGCTCAGTAGATGACAGACTGCAGGAGGCACCCTGTTGGGAAAGTGTTCCCAGGACTTCTGAGGGACCAGCAGTCCTGAAAGGGCTCAGAAGAGGCAGTGGGGAGGGAGGAGGATCCACACCCCAGTCCCACCTGGCTGACAGATTGGTAGGGGGGTGCTTCTGCCTCCCTCAGGGCCTAGATGGTCTGTCCCAGTGTCTTTGACTTGCCTTTATTAAGCAGCAGCCCCCAGGAGCTCTCTTTGCCACTCCATGGAGTGAGCCAGGGGCCCCTCCTGCAGGCAGGCTTCTGTGTGTCGGAAGCAGGGTTTGATGAGCTGTTGAGCCAGGGAGCCCCTGTGAGCCCTGCCTGGGGAGACTGCGATAAGAGGAAAATAACACCACAGTCGCTGGTCTATCCCAGTGTGCAATTCGGGCTCCTCGTGGCCACTCCCCTTTCACAGAGGCCGTGGGGTCTGCCCTGGCAGATTTTAAAGCCCTCTTGCAGGGGCGGGGCGTGTGAAGTTCTTATGGCTGTCCAGGTGGATTGTGGCTTTCCCAGCCTTGCACACCACCATGCCTGTTTCCTCAGCCCTTGCCGGCCACTCCCAGCATACCCAGACCCTTGCCACCAGTAGCTGAGGCTCCAGGACACCAAGGCTCTGAGGAGGGCGCAGGGCTTGGGGAACCAGTGGGCGACTGCTGGTTTTCTCTTTTAGGAGTAACTCAGCCCAGGAGCCCTGGCTTGGTGTCACACCTTGCCTTGTGTCAGTTGCTGCAACCGCTGCTGTGTGACCTTATAAAAATGGTGCAGTCACTCTGACCCTCAGTTCCGTTAACTGTCAAATGGAGGAATCCAGGACAGACATCCAGTGAATGCTCCCTGGGCATTCCTGGCCCCAGCTCTGGTGAGAACCTGTAGTGCAGGCGGGGCTTTGGGAGAGCACCCAGGCCAGCTGCTAATTGGCAGATGAGGGTGCTGAGGCTGGGGTTGGGGGGATTCTCCCAATGGTGCCTCTGTTCCCATGCCATCCCCCTTCACCAGTCATCTCCAGAGAGACCAGAGGAAAGTCGGGAAGTAACCAGCTTGTGTGGCTTTATCACGTTCTGACCTGAAATGAGGTGAATGGGACTGTGTCACACACTTTACTCCCTCTCTGCTTGTCCTCTCTGCTCTTTAGGGAACTCAGGCTGCGGAACTATGTCCCAGAGGATGAGGACCTGAAGAGGAGGAGGGTGCCCCAGGCCAAACCAGTCGCGGGTAAGTGGGCTGCATCTTCGCCTTTGCTCCCTGGCGCTGCTGGTTGCCTCCACCTTGGCAGGTGTTGCCCCCTCTTGGAGAATAACTGGCAGTGCCAGCACTGGAAGTTGGGCCTCCAAGACCTTCCATCACTGTCTCATGGCAGATGCACAAGCAGAAGCGGCCAGGGAACTGCAGCGGCTTCTGGGCCCGCTGTGCCCCGCTCTGCCCTGCTCATACCCTGCCGTGGAGGCCTTCCAGGGACATCCCCTCAGAGGACCTCTCTGAGAAATGGAAGTGGCCCTGGGGCTCTTGGACAGCAGGGGCAGGCTGCTGGGTCCTTTGGGCCCTTGGAGGGTCAGAGTGAGAGACCTTGAAGAAGGGCTGACCATCTCGGTCCTTGGAGAGCATTGGGCAGGCAAATGCCCGCCTGGCTTGAGGTGTGGCAGTGCCAGAGCACGGAGGATGGGGAGAGGTGTTTTCGCTGATGGGATGAGGGCCGGGCCCAGGGGCTGCCCAGCAGTCTCACTGTAGTGTGGGGAGCAGCACAGCCACCAGGAGCATCTGACCAGCTGCGGCCTATCCACAGCCATCCGTGCTGGAGATGCTGGGGTGCTTGTTATCATGCACCTCTCTGGCTCCAGCCCTGTTTTTATTCTTTGTTTTTATCAATTTTTGATTATATGAGTAATAAATTAATAAAAATACATTTATCTTCTAAGAGAGTAAAGTGTTGTCCACTCAGCCACACCCCAGTCTGCTCCCCCCTCTCCTTTAACCCTGAGATTCACATGTGTCCCAGGTGATTTGCTTCAAGGTTTGGGTCTCACCGTGGTGGGGGCAGTGGCATGTTGGGGGCAGAAGGCAAGACAGAGGACAGGGACAGGGAGCTGGTCCCATGCCTCAGGGTCAGCACTTGTTCCTAGAGGGAAGTGAGGCAGGGCAGCAGGGACTGAGGCAATGTAGGGCAACTGTGATGAGGATTGGAGGAGGCCCATGGAGCCCAGATTTGCTGTTCATGCTCCTGGCATCTGTCCCCACAGGGGTAGGACCCTCCTGGTCAGACCACCCAGAGGCCCATTGTGTTGCCGACAGCTGGGTGGAGCCAGAGGGGCACAAGGGCAGGCCTTCTCTAGACGGTCGTCCCCTTGGTCTTGGGAGCACTCATCTAAGAGTGGGATGGGAAGAAAAGTCACCTGTGCCCTGACCCGGAGCCCAGAGGACGTCCTCAGAGCCCAGGAGCCCCTGGAGGGTAAGGGAAAAGCCAGACCTCAGGGCCCTTCCCTAGACTACACTTTGGATATATCCAGGTAGCTGTCTCATTTCCCAGCTGGGGAGATGGGCTGAGAGTAGCATCCGTGCTTCCTGGCTGGAGATCTGGGCTCCGTGTACCCCAGCTGGCTCCCTCCTGCTGGCCCTCCTTTGCCCCTGGCTTGCCTTCATCCTGGGAAACCCAAGCCCTTCCTCCAGAGCTGCCTTTGCAGGGTCTTTGCCTCTGGACAGTGAGAGGCTCAGGCAAGAAAGCCCAGGTTTTCCTGGGGACCTGCCTTCACCCTCTTACCCTGTCCTATAGCTGCAGTTTGTGGGATCAGGGAGAGTGGCGGCTCCTTTCTGACAGGCCTCCGTTGTTGTCTTGCGCCCTCTAGTGGAAGAGAAGGTGAAGGAGCAGCTGGAGGCCGCCAAGCCAGAGCCCATCATTGAGGAAGTTGTGAGTGCCTGGGGGTGGCCCCGTCCTGCCTCTGCTCCTGTGGATCCTTTTCTCCTTCCCTTCCTTCTTCACTTCTTTATTCCCTTTCCACCTCCCTGCTTCCCCTCACCCTCTCCTTCCTCCTTTCCTTTCTCCCATTTTCCTTCCTCCTTTCCCTGTCTTCTACTTCCCCTGGCGCTAGGCCTCTCCAGCCCTGACTTGTGTCTCCTCCTTACCCAGGACCTGGCCAACCTTGCACCACGGAAGCCTGATTGGTGAGTGTGGCTGGTGTAGGGCCAACACAGCCTGACTACGGCACCCTTGGTGCCAAACATGGGACTCAGGCTGGCTTTCCCACTCTCACAGCAGGAGGTGGGCGGTATAGACATATAGCTACTGTCTGAAATAAGTGCTGAGAAGGACAGAAGTGGAGAATGAGAGGAACTTGATGGGGAATGACCTGAGGGTGTGGAGGGAGGGAGGGGCTCAGGTAGAAGGGTCTCAATAGTCCCCTCCAAAAGTCCCTTCTGAAAGGATGAGGGCCCGTCCCACCTCAGAGGGCTTTGCCCTCTGAACAAGGCGGACCTTTACCCTCAGAGAGACATAGGGTGGAGGCAAGATGGTAGGAAGGGCAGATGTAGGTTTCTGCCCCAATTCTACCACCAGCTAGCCTGTTGCCCTTTGGCCTCCGTTCCATCTTCTGTGAAATAGCTCATCCTTCCTGCTGCCCCTGTGCCTAGGCTGAGAGAGAGCTGTGCATTCACTTTACCTTGGGCCAGAAGTACTGGCCAGTTCCCTCTCACTTGCCATTTTGTATCAGGCATCAGCTGAAGTTGTTCTAATTTGATGAAACAAAGCATAGGGCATGTGTCTGGGAAACCTAGAGCCAGGGAGAGGCTATGTGTGTACTTCTGGAAGCATCTGGTGGTGAACATGTGGCCAGAGGAGGAGCAGGACCCACAGTGGACAAGGGCAAGTCACTCCCTGATAGTTACCGAGGGGGACAGACCAAGAGAGGACCCTGAGAAACCATCTACCCTGCTCACTTTGACTTAGTCCCCTATGTTGCCTGGGTCCATGGTGCTAGTCCCTGCCTCACTAGGACTGGGAAGCATGGCTGATGCTGGGTTTTGGAGGATGCAGAAAGGGAGAGAGAGGCTTATCCTGGCGTCAGGCACCCAAGTGTGATAACCTAATGCCAGAGGGGCTGTGGGAGGGGAGGGCCCCAAGGCCATACCAGCCTTCAGCCTCGTGACTTCTCCAATCTCCTTGCTCCAGGGACCTCAAGAGAGACGTAGCCAAGAAGCTGGAGAAGCTAGAAAAGCGGACCCAGAGGGCCATTGCCGAGCTGATCCGTAAGTGTGGGGCTTGGCAAGGCGGGATCCCTGCATCTGGGTGGTGGCCCAAGCACGTGGCTCTTCTCCATTCCTCCTGTCTGCCATCCATCCAGGTGAGAGGCTGAAAGGCCAGGAGGACAGCCTGGCATCTGCAGTGGACACCACCACTGAACAAGAGGCCTGTGACTCCGACTAAGGCATGCCCTGTCCCCTCACCCGTCTATCAGTCCTGTTCTGTAGGCAGATGGTCTTGGGCAAGGGTTGGGGCTGGGCTTGCCATCACCTTCAGTTTGGCTTTAGAATAATGACTCCCTGCCCTCACCGATGGGGTGAGGTCGGCTCCTTGTCTCCTGAGTGGTCCCCACCATGCTGAGTAGGGGCAGGGCCAGCAGCAACCCTATCAGCTTGCTGTATCTGTATATATGTATATATTTTGAACTTTTTTTTAATATCTGGAAAAAGAAACAAGCTGATCTGTGTGTGGCAGAAACCTACCAAATATTTCTAGGTCCTTGGAGTACTCTGGGTTTGGGATATAGAGGTGATGTTTTTGTTTGTTTGTTTGTTTTATTTTTTTTAACTTTTTTTTATTGAGTTATAGTCATTTTACAATGTTGTGTCAAATTCCAGTGTAGAGCACAATTTTTCAGTTATACATGAACGTACATATGTTCATTGTCACTTTTTTTTTTTTTTTGCTGTGACAGAGATGATGTTTAATATGAGTAAGCTCTGTGTTGGGCTGAGCATTTGAGTCTGGAGGGATGGGGAAGGCTCATGCCTAATCGTGGCTCAATCCTTGGTCAGTGGTGATTATCTCAAAACCCTCAGGTGGCCGAGACAGTGTCTGGGAGGGTTCTTTTAAGACCTCCCACAGGCCGAGCCCTTGTTAGTCTGTGGGGCAGCTTGGAGAGGCTCCCACCCTGGTCCTCTGTGGACCGCCTCACAGTGAGAGAGAGAGAAGGAAGAGACGGGGCCCATGAAGCGGGTGGGCAGTGCTGTGGCAGCTCAGCTCCAAGCCGCTACAGACTCGAGGCCCCTGGCGTGGTTCTCCCTCACCCCACCCAGCCCCGGCAGCCCCTCTCCCCACCTCACCAGTCAGAGCTGGACGGTGGCTTCCCTGGGACGGGGCCCCTGTATGGGGAAGGGGGGCCCGTTCTGCCAGAGACTAGGGTGTTGTAGGCTGGTGTTTAGGCCGGGCCCCCCAGGGTCCTGGCTTTGGGACCATGAGCCTCCTCTGTGAAGCTAACTCTCCAGAGTGACCGACTGCCCACAACTCTGACTCCAGGTACCTGTGGCAAATTAAAATTTCACCTCCTCCAAAATGATAACACTCTTTAGTTTCCTTCAGATTTCCCCTTGGGCCTCGTGCCCCTGGCCTGAATCATCCCAGTGTGTTCCTCCCTCTGTGCTAAGTTCTAGGAATGGAATTTAATGGCCCAGCTCTGGAGGACGGTACTGAGGACTCGGGTCACAGAAGTGGAGTGAGTGTGTGCACACAGAGATCATCATACTCACAATAAAGTAAATGCTTTAACTTAAAATTACGCTCTAATAACTCCTCTAAGAAAGCAGTTCTTAGGAAGGGAACAGAAACTTGAAGCTGTGAGTGAACTGAAGTGGTAGGTGGCTTGCTGCTGTGGTAGGCAGTGGAATGAGGGCAGGACTGATTCCCGCAAGGGGTGGGGATCAGACATGCCCCAGTGTCGGGACTGGAGCCGGACTCCCTCTGCATAGCTGGGCTCTAGAGCTGGGCTTCCTTTCTTAGGAATAAAGGATGAAAAGATGCTCCCACCTCCTGGGATTGCAGTTGGAAGCAGGGTGCTTGTCTGTGGCAGGACAGGACTCAGACAGCTGTGACTGGCAGCTGGGCTCCTGCACAGCGCCAGCGCTGGGGCTTAAGTAAGGCTGTCCCCACAGTATGAGAACCCAGAGAGCTAACGAAAGGTTTGCTTCTGCATTTACAACCCTGTGTGCCATGTAGAAAAACAGCCCTGCAGGGAGAGAGAAAAGCAAAAACTATCATCTGTGATGGGCACTCAAACAAAAATTACAGAATACGTGAGAAAATCTAGTGCCTTAAAGAGTGGCCAACAACCCAACAAGCAGGAGAATTTCTACTCAAAGAAAGTGAAATGGTAACATCCTAACGGCTTTAAAATGAGCATTTGTTTTATCAGCAGAGAGATCAAAGAGGAACTGACCCCCACAACTCAAGAACAGGGACTCTGTAAGAAGGAACTGATTAGAAATCTTGGAAATAAAGAATGTTTATTAAAATAAGAAACTCCCCAGAAAAGCAAATGATAACTTACAGTCAAAGAAGGGATTAACAAATTGGAAGTGAAGCTGAAGATCCAAAAGGTGGCAGAGAGAGAGAAGGAAGGGGAGATAGAAGGTAGATTGAAAATCTTGACTGTCCTTTAGCTGAAAGGAGTTTGGGAAAAGAAAGCCAGAGAAAGAAGGTGCTTGAAGCAGGCGTGGCTGACCGCTTCTGTTTCTGGCATCATGGGGGGCCAGTTGCCTAAACTGATCCTCCCTTTACAAGCAGCTAAAAAAACTAGGTAAATAAATATTGACAAATCCTTTATATATGCATCAATAATCTGGCAAGAAAGTAAGGAATACTCAGGCGAAAAGGTAAGAGAAGCAGCAGAATGCTGAAGCCTGACCTTTGCCCTGAAGGTATTTGACAAACCAGGTGAAATTAAGCATTGGTTTGGGGGGGCCCTCAATGCCTGGGGACCCAAAGGGCAGCACTCGCTGCAAACTAAAATCTGCTCTCCTGGCATCCCAGAAGGAAATCAAACCTTGCCACTTACTGGAGTGGAACAAAGTCTCCCCTGAGAGCTGAGCAGGCCCTCATGTGGGTTTGTACACAAGAAATCTCAGGCCAAGATTTAGAGTGGTCCCAGAATGTGGTGGTTTCAGACACTTGATGGAAGACAATGTAGATCCTACCTGAATGAATATTCATCTCAGTCCTCAGAGAATCCCCACCAATAAAGTTCTAAGAAAGATGAGCAACTTATGAAAAAGTTCACCAGATGAACTAGGCAACAGAACACTCAGAGCAAAGGGCATCAGAAAGAACATGGTGACATTAGACTTGAAAGATGTCAGATGCTAGAATTATCAGTCAGACAATTTAAATGTTTAAAAATGATCTAATAACTAAAAGAAAGGCTTGAAAATAGGAATAGATTTGCAAAAGAACGAAAGGGATGTTCTAGAGAAATTATTATAGCAGTTTAAAACCTTGCATCTGTGAATTAGGGCTAAAGAGACAATTTGTGAATAGGAAGCTAGATCTGAAGAGGTCATCCAGAATGCAGCCAGCAAAATGAACAGATCAGGAACATAGAACAAGAAGCTGAGAGAGAACGAGGATAGGTTGAGAAGATCGAGCTTGTGGTTGGGGTTCTCGGGGGAGAGAAATGGCAAGAATGGGGCAGAGGTAAATTTTATTTTTGAATGACAGTGAACTTTTCAAAATCATCAAGTCCACAGATTCAAGGTCAGCAAATCTCAAGCAGAGCAACCAAGAGAAATCTGCACTCAGATGTTCTGTCTCTTGCTGAGTGGTGATCATAATTCAGATTCTCTTTATGAATATTCATTGAGCTGTGCACATATCATTTGTGCACTTTTTTGAATGTTTATTACACCTCAGTAAGCAAGTTTGAGTCAAATATTTTCACTTGTATTAATTATTCATTGCTGAATACAAATTATGCCCTAAACTCCTTAAAACAATAAATCATTATTATCCGACACTTTCTAGGGGTCAGGAATTCAGGAGTGCCTTAGCTGAGTAGTTCTAGCTTGGGTCTCTTTGAGATTGTAGTCAAGATGTCCTCCAGGGCAGCAGGCATCAGGAGGCTCGACTGAGGGGGAAGGATCTACTTCCAGGATGGGCTTCCACTTCCAGGGCTCACAGGAGTGCTTATAGAAGCATCCTGCACACACAAGTCCTTGCTGCGTGGACCTCTCCATAAGCCTTGCTCAAGTGTTCCCATGTGGTGGCAGCTGGCTTTCCCCAGAATGAACAATCCAATTGAGAACACAGGAGGAAGCTTAGGGGCTTTTTATGACCTGCTCTTGGAAGTGATATTCTGCCACCATCTATTTGTTAGAAGCAAGTCACTCCATCTAGCCCACACTCAAGGAGAGAAGAATTAGGTTCCACCTCTGGAGGGGAGATGTATCTAATAATTTGTGGACATAATTGAAAACCACTACATATCTGGGTACATGGTAATAAATTGGCAGAACAAAAAGACCAAGAAGAGATCATAAAATTAGAAAAGATACAGTAACTTTCAAGGAGCAAGCCTGCTGCAGATGTCTCAGCCACAGCCGGTGTTAACTGGAATGGTACCTTCTGATATCAGTGTTAACTGGACGAAGCATAGTTGTCAACTTGAAATTCTGTACCCAGAGAAAATATCTTACAAATGCAAGATATTTTTAGACAGACAAAACTAGTAATTTTGTCACCAGCAGACTCACACTAAAAGAAAATCTATTTTGGGATAATGAAAGTATTCTAATGTGGATTGTGGTGATGGTTGCAAGTCTAGTTCAGTGAATCTACTAAAAGCCACTGAATTGTACACTTAGATGGGCAAATTGTATGATATATTATATCTCAATAAAGCTATTTTTAAAAAAAGAAATAAGCATTCTCCTTAAAAAATTTTAATGGGTGTTTTTAGACTAAAGGGACACAATCCCAGATGGAAAATCTGAGATATAGGCGGGATTGAAGAGAAAGAAAGTGTAGATTTAAATAGGCATTGACCTTATGAAACAAAAATGTATTGTAGATTAAAAGGAAAACTAGGGCTACTTAGAATACATGACAATAGTGTGTAAATCTGGAGGAGAGAGGAGATTGGAATTACAGCCCTCTACGAAGCTCACTGAGGAAGAGAGAAAAGACTCCGGTGTACAAGCAGGCCGACATTTCTAGGATAACTGAAAGAACAGAAACAGAATGCAGCCTTTCCAAAATAATTGAGGGGAAAATAACTGGAGTGGAAAAAAAAATCCAAAAGATAGCAAAGAAAAAAGGTGGGACAAGTAAACAAATCTAAATATATCATTAATTACTGTTAATGTACTAGACCACTTTTTTTTTTTAACTCAGTCTGATGCCTTTTTTTTTTTTTAATTGCGTTATAGTCAGTTTACAATGTTGTGTCAGTTTCTGGTGTACAGCACAATTTTTCAGTCATACAGTCTGATGCCTTTTTGTAAAAGAAACCTAAACCCAAATCCTTGAAACAGAGAGGTTGAAAGTGAAGGGATTAGAAGAGCTCTGTCAAGCTCAAGGTCAGCAGAAGGAAGCTGAGGTGATGCCAGACAAGGGAGACCTTCAGACAGGAGGGTTACTAGCCACACCCTCCTGTGTGCAGCGGAGCGGCGGGCCTCCTACCTGCCGCCTATGGGGGTGCCGGATGGTAAGACTTACGCTTTGGAAAAGTTGAACACGTGCACAGCCTGAGTCCCAGCAATTCCACTATCAGTGTCCGAGAGCACTGGAATAGCAGGAGCCAGGGACAGGAACACTAATAGAAGTGTTTGTATTAACACACATACACAGTAAAACACAGAGATGATAATGAGTCATGGTTCTGACAGCGGAATACTCGTGGGTGGTGAAGTCCGTGCAGAAGAGCGAGGTGGTGATCCTCAACACCGAGCTGGGGGCCCTCAGACAGTCATAGTGCTCTTTTTCCCGACTTCAGTGATGGGAATTCATTTTATCCTCTATCCATTCATTTTACACACTTTTGGGGTATATTTGCTATACTTTGCACACATACTTTTTTAAAGAGAGAAATTTCCAGGATTCACAGACTAAATTACTCGGTAAGTGTGAAGTAGAATTTTTTTGAGTGTCCACATCTGCACGGTATAGATTAGAACATCTAATGGTCTAGACTAGAACATTGAGGGTAAGGAGAAAAAAATCCTATAAACTACATGGGAGAAAAAAAAAAACACAGATTGCCTGCTAATAAATGAGTTCTACTTTTCATCAAGAGTAGATACTAGAGACAAATTTTTCCTAAGTGTTGAAGAAACAGATGTAAGTCTGATCAATTATCCTAAGTGATAAGGGCAAGATAGATACTTTACGCTTATGACACAGTTTAATATGCACTGATCTTCGCTGAAAGAATGGCTAAAGGATGCTCTGTAGCAAGAGCGGGGTGGGGGCAGGGAGATGGATATGGGAATCAGGACTGCATCTGGCAGACGCTTATATACAGGCTCTTCAGGGCTTTGTTGTTACGTTACGTCTAAGGTGGTACAGTGGCTCCTTGAGGTCACCAGGGACATGAGTCCCTTGTGTGTCCTCAGCTGCCGTCCTTGGCTCCCCAGGAGCCTTTGCACCCCTGGGTTCAAGCTGCAGGCAGGAGGGGGAAGGGCAGAGGGCAAGGCCAGCTGAAGAAACCATGGCTTCAAGCTCAGTCCCCCTTGCTTGCCTTCACATCTCATCAGCCATTACTGTGTGGGTTCCAACCCTAACTGCAGATGTGTGGGGAGTAAGGGTATTTTAAGCTGGGCACATTGCCACCATGACTGAATTTGAGGTTCCATGAGAAAGGAAGAAGGGTAGAAAGAGTACTGGGAAGGCAGCCAGCAGTGCCTGCCACAGGATGCAGGAAGAAGTGGTGAGCAAAGAAACTGGTAAACATTGCAAAAATTGGTAATTGACTAACAAAGACTGATAAAGAAATAAAGAGGAGACACAAATTAGGAATATTGGGAATGAATTAAGGCTATCACTATAGACCCTACAGGCATCAGAAGGACAGTAAAGGGATAGTGTAAGTAACTACCCACGTAAATTTGACGATGAAATGCACTAATTCCTTGAAAACCACAAACTGTCATAACTCCCCCAAGATAAAAAAAATCATTTGCGTAGCCCTGTAACTATTAAAAAATACTGAATTCATAATTTTAAAACCCCTGAAAAAGAAATCTCCAAGCCCAGGTGGTTTTACTGGAGAATTGATAACACAGGTTTAATGCAATTCCTATCAAAATCTCAACAAGATCTTTATCTAGGTATAGACAAGGTTATTCTAAAATGTACCAGGAAAGTTAGAAGAACTTGAACACACAGGGAATATAGCCAATATTGTATAATAACTTTAAGTGGAGTATAATCTATAAAAGTTGTGAATCACTGTTGTACACCTGAAACACAATATTATAAATCAACTATACTTCAACCAAAAAAAAAGCAAAAAAAAAGATCAGCTTAAACAATTTTTAACTAGAAGAATAAAGCAGGAGGAATCAATCTACCCATTTCAAGACTTCTTATACAGCTATAACAATCAAGACAGTGGTATTGGTGGAAAGATAGGCACACAGATCAGTGAAAGAATGTAGAAAACTCAGAAGTAGCCCCATGTAAGTACAGCCAACTAATTTTTGGCAAAGGTACAAAATGAGCTCAATGAAGGAAGCAGTCTTCAGCAGATGGTGCTGGAGTGATTGGATATCCATTCAGAGGCCAAGAGAAAAGGAACCCTAAACTAAACTTCAGACCTTATACAAAAAATAAAATGGACCATAGGAGGAAACCTTCAGAACCTAGAGCTTGGTGAACAGATTAGACATGAGAAAGTACAATTCATTAAGAAAAAAATGAATAAATTTGACTTAACCAAAATGAAAAGCTTTTGCTCCAACAAAGTCCCTATTAAGAGAATGAAGAGAAAAGCTACCGACTGGGAACATATTTGCAAACCCCATATCTGATAAACGGCTCACATCTGGAATACATAAAGAACTGTCGAAACTCAACGGTAAGAAAGGAAATCCAAGTCGAAAAGGGGGAAAAGACCGTGAAGCAACATTGCACCGAAGAGGATCTATAAATGGCAAACAAACACGTGAAAGATGCTCAACGTCACTAGCCATTAAGGAAGTGCAAATTACGACTGTGGGAGCTGTAGTTTCATACCTCTTAGAACAGCCTAAAAATAGTGATAATGCCGAATGCTGACAGGCTGTGGAGAAGCTGAATCTCTCGTACATAGTTGGCAAGACTGTAAATGGTACATCCCCTCTGGAAAATAGTTTGGCAGTTTCTTCAGAAACGAAGCATATACTTAACATATAAGCCAGCAAACATGTTCCTGGGCATTTATTCCAGAGAAATAAAAACGCTGTCCATACAAATGGACATAGCAAATACAAAAACTATATACACAAATGTTCATAGCAGCTTTATAATTGACCAGAGCTAGAAAAAACCAAAGTGCCACATGCATTGTTGCTTAATGAATACTAAATAATTTGAATTTCTGTTCAGGATACATCAGTTTTTAAAAAATGAGCACAGATCTTCAGCTTAATGGGGGTGGCCAAGTCATCATCAGACAAAGATCTGTCCTTCAGTTTGGAATTAAAATATTGCACAAAAATGGGTGAAATAGGGTGGAGGGTATAGCTCAGTGGTAGAATGCATGCTTAGCATTCAGGAGGTCATGGATTCAATCCCCAGTAATTCCATTAAAATAAATGACCTCTCCCCCACAAAAAAGAACTTTTTTAAATGGGTGAATAAGTAAGTTTGATACTAAATTTCTAACATGTGGCATGCAGTCTATGAGGGTTTTCCTTTACTTGGTCCTGCACTTTTGGGAATAATGGAGTGGAAAATTAAGTAAGTTTCTATTCTGTGAAAAAAAAAACCCCACAAAATGCCCTTCAGTAAGTGTTAAGCTGTGTTGTAATCATACCGTGGAGATACTACTCAGCAATAAAAAGGAGCCAGCTGTTTGTAGAGGGTATGTCTTGGATGAATTTCAGGGGCATTATGCGGGGTGAAATAGGTAGGTAGGTAGGAAAGATAGATAGCTCACAGACTGTATGATTCCCTTATCTATAGCATTCTTGAAATGACAAAATCATGGAGATAGGGAACAGATTTGTGGTTACCAGGGGTTAGGAATGGTAGGAGCAAGTGTGACAATATAAAGGGGTAGTTTGAAATAAAGGAGATCTTTGTAGTGATAGAGTAGTTCTCAACTGCAGTGGTGATACACAAATCTACACAAGTGATAAAATGGAACTATACACACACATTGTGCTGACGTCCAATTCCTGGTTTTGATACTGTGCTCTAGTTACGGGAGATGTAACCACGAGGGGAAGCAGGGTGGATGGTCAGCAGGACTGCTCTGTGCTTTTTAAACTTCCTATGAACCTATATTTCAAAATAAAACATTTTAAAATATTTTCAGTTGCGAGCAAAGAAAATGGTAAAACCTGTTAATCGTGTAATTTTTTTTTTTAAATACTATGCTTTCTATGTTTAAAAACAGGACAGCAGGCTTTCTGGAGTCTTGTGGAAGATGAGATGGTGGTGGCTTATAGTTGGTCACAGTGAGTCCTGGCCTTGGTTGGAGGGACAGATGAGGGGCTTGGGCCCCAGCAGTCCCTTTGTCATAGGGCTGAGGAAACAGGCCAGCGAGTGGCAGTGCTCAGCTCAGTGGATGGAGCCCTGGTGTGCCCACTGCTACCCAGCTCACCAGGCACTCCTCCAGGACAGCCCTGACTGACCTCACAACACTCAGGCCTCTCCCGCTTCAAATCCTCGAGGACATCTGGCCTTTGGGTTATCTCAGGAGAGGTTTCAGGCCTGGAA